GGATTCTTGGCTTGCTTACTTTCAAGAAATGATGAAAATGAGATTCTGTTTCTGAAACCCCAAATAGATCACTTTTATGATTTGTTTGTTTCAGGAGTTTTGAGTTTTGATCCACATGTTTATTCAACCTAAATATACCTAGCTCCCAGATGCACTTATTTGCCAATTACTTTCCGGCCCTCTTCATAGTTCTTTGTTTTAGATCTGTGGGGTTGGTTTTGTCTTGTTGCATTTCTATTTCACTTAAAGATATATCTATTATTCAAATATAAAAGTGACTTAGGAAAGAACATCCTAAAGTTTATTTAGAAATTCACCAAGCCACATACTAATGCATCTCTAATAGGGACATTTCTTTTCACACATCTGAGGTGATTGAGCCTGTCCTTTAAAGTGAGATTTGCAAACCAGTGTCTGGCAGCTCCAATTAGCTTCTTTTGGGTTTAAAGCAAATCACAAACAGTAACAAGGTCTCCTAGGACACTCCTATTGCAAGCGATGTAGTCATATTTCCTCATTAGTTCTTTTCAATTGTCACTAATGCCATGTTCTAGCTTTTGAGTAGGAGACAAAAAAACATAAAAATTTGGTATGTATGTAGAATGGGCCATTGTTTTCCATAATTCAAGGCTCTTTTGAATTCCTTTGATAGTTTTGAAGCTTACACAGCTTAATTCATTAACCTTTACCCTTCACATAAATCATATGATTAGGAATCTATTGCTAAGAAGACAGATTTTCCCTCCACTGAAAATAAGTAATGCCTTCTCATCTTTGAAAAAAAATCCTATCTAGCTTACCAAAGTAACCTTTCTGTTGCTTTTCATATTTCATCAGATGTTTCAGGTGCATTTTAGAACGTTATCAAAAGCAAGTGAGCATAAAGTTACATTATTATCAAAAATAACTCTGGATGCTTAGGATACTTTGGAGCAGGTTTTCTGGCCCTTTTTCTGTATTCCAAAAGAGTTTGTTTATATGTATTCAACAGCTGTTACTCAAGAATTTACAATGGTAGCAATGTTGTGGTTTTGTTTTTAAATTCTCTTCAGACCCCTGCCAAAACATAAAAGCAGGAAAATAAACTCAGGGTAGGCAATTCAGAATAAATTAAAGTATATTTGAATGAACCTAATACTTTTTTTTGGAGAACTTTTTCATATGGACTTATCTTGTAGAGAATGATGATGTAGGGCTCCAAAAAATGTACGTGGTTGTTCTGTGATTCCCTGAAGGGGAGACTAGCATGTCTTTTGATTCCTTTATTCTCTCTTGTTAAGACAGATGTCTCCTTAGGGTTTAGTAATCTTAATTGTGCTTGACATTCATGAGCTACTTTAAAAGTATTTGGTATTCTTCAGCATTTATCCACTATGCCATTTTCCCATGTTATGAATTTTTCTTAATTATCTTATACATCGTTACTTTCTGTAAGGGTACAGTTCTTTTCCTAAATTTTATAACTTCTTATGTTTTAATACATGAAGTGGGAAATCTTTGAACCTACTGATTCATAGAGAATGGCCATGTGATATTCTGAGCTTTGCCTATAGGAATGATGGGGACAAGGGGTTGGGGAAGAATAGGAAAAATTTGAATTCTATATTGTGAGTTTACAGACTCATGGCTTGCTCCTGTGGACCAAACTAATGCATCACTATGATTAATCAATATTCTTATATGTAATCTGTGAGTAAGAAAGGTGATGAAGAAGTAAACATTTTACATGTGGTCTTTGGTTCTGTCACTCTCCTTCTCACTTCAAGATTATTGCTTTGCCCACATTTCTCTCTTTTATTGGTATCAGTTTATAAATACCTCTTAACTTGCTGTACCTGTAGTCCATACTAAGATTTTTTTTTTTTTTTTTTTTTTTTTTTTTTTTTTTTTTTTTGAGACGGAGTCTCGCTCTTTCACCCAGGCTGGAGTGCAAAGAGTCTCGCTCTTTCGCCCAGGCTGGAGTGCAATGGCCGGATCTGAGCTCACTGCAAGCTCCGCCTCCCAGGTTTACGCCATTCTCCTGCCTCAGCCTCCCAAATAGCTGGGACTACAGGCGCCCGCCACCACGCCCGGCTAGTTTTTTGTATTTTTTTAGTAGAGCTGGGGTTTCACCGTGTTAACCAGGATGGTCTCGATCTCCTGACCTCGTGATCCGCCCGTCTGGGCCTCCCAAAGTGCTGGGATTACAGGTTTGAGCCACCGCGCCCGGCCCATACTAAGATTTATGACTTTGTTTTGTGCATACGTACTATACAGTGAAGTGGAAATTGCTCTGATTTTAATACACTAAAGGTTATGACTAGAGCCAAGATTCTTTGTAAAACAGTGGAATTATTTGAAGTAAATATATTCACAGACTTGTGTTATGTACTACTTGTAAACGTGTTATAGAATGGACTCTGAAAGTTTCAGGAGAAAAGGATAGTCAACACCCACAATCTCTCATTGTGAACTGCTGTCACTACATGCTACCCCGGAAACACGACATAGATGGATTATGAGGCTTCAGACACTAGCCAGGAACGTGAGGTGGTGTTCCATTTCCACCAATTTGTAGTAATGGGATAATACAAACCACTTCCATTTTCAATTCTTAAAACAACAGCTACTTTACCTACTGCAAGCACTCAATTTTGTGTCTCAATATATATGACGTTTCTGTCCAAAATCACAGAATTTGGGGTTTCTCTTTTCAAATGTAAAATCCATAACAGATATAAAATTAATATTTTGCTACAGGTTTTCCAAGGGTATGGTTTTGTCACCATGAATTTTTATTTCAGAACTTAATTTTATGCTGTACATGACTTTTAGCACACTGGCTGTGATCAGGGTAATTAAAAGTATTTGGAAAACCCTGTTTACCTGAACTTTCAAGAACAGCAAAAATCCTAGGTGATTCTTTAAAGAAAGAAAATTGCTTTTCTCTTATAGTTCTCCCTTTTTTATATGAAAGACACTGCTTACTCTTAATCATGTGTTATCTCTTGGCCACTGTATTGCCTCCTGAGTGTGCTAAATGATTTTATAATAGGTATTCATAATTGTCTACACGTCTTGAACTTTTCTCTGTTCAATAGTGGGGAAACATGATGCTCATGACCTTTTATCAGTTTTTAGGAAGTCTTTATCTAGTGAGTGATCATCTTATTTTATATAAATGTTGGTTCTTGTTGCCTACGTACTAACATTTGACTTGGCTTGTACAGTGAAGTCAATTGTGTCATTTGCTATTTTTAGTCATCTGTATGTCTTATGTGCTTATAGCATATCTGATGTAAAATCAAGTACAAGGAAGATAAATAGGATATTGCACTTGTTTAGAGCATAATCAAATATAAATCAGGCATTTTGAACTATTCAAATAGAGCATGAGAACAAACTACAATTAATGATTTTTGGTGGCCATGCGAAATATTGGATCTGTTTGTATTTTTGGTAGGTAGTAGAAGAGGACAGTGAGATATGTATATTTGATTTGACTGAAAGTCATCAGATTATTTTTTAATAATTTAGGATATTACAGTCATCTAGGGCCTTTTTGTGTACTCTTAGCATGTAAAAATAGTTTTTACCATATAAAAGGTTGTTATTGTTGGTAATGTTTCATTTCTCTTTTTATTCTTTTTATAATGAATTTATTTAAATATTATGTAAAAACCAAATGACATGGAATTAGCTTTAAAATTTTCCTCACAACCTGTATCAGTCATAATTGCATTGTCTTGCTGTTTTAAGTTTCTCGTTTTAGACATGGAAAAATTTATCCATTTTTTTATAGTTTTTTTAAATAGTGGAAGAAAAAGAATGTTTATTTGGTTATTCTGAGGAAATTTGAAATGTTCATCATTCCATTAAAACAAAATTCCATAAAAATTTTTTAAAAGAAATATATGTCTTCTCTATAACTAATTTAACCTTCAATAATGAATTATGTGAAGTAAAATTGTATAAAATTTCCTGACATTTTATGAAGATTCCTACAAATAAGCCAGACAGCAAATAAAATATAGGAAAGACAGAGATGGATACTGAGTAATTTTTTGATAGATTATGTGCACAGGTATCAAATTACTTGATCCTTACTTCCTAGAAAAGGTTAATGACTCTTTTTGCTTTTACCCTTTTACTTAACTGTTATTTATAAAGATTAAAAGAGGGACTGCATTGAAGGGTGCATTTGCCTGTGTGTCTGTATGACTGCACAAATTTTTCTGATATTATAGGAAACTGAGCCACAAAATGGATAATATTGTTAATCATTATTTTTAAAGTTCATTCAATTCTGTAATACAACTTCCACTAGGCCTATTAGATCAGAGCGCACCATTAAAAAAAATTTTTTTAACTTAAATGAAACCAGAAAAGACAGTCTTACATATCTATATCTATATTGTTAAAATGGCCTAAACCTTTGCAACAACTTATTTACAATATTAAGAATAAGATATTTTAAAGTTACGTGTACATATTTTCTTTCATCTTTAATCTGTAAAATTATAGATTTTTAGAACATATTTGATGTTAAATTGAATAAAATTTTGCAAAAATATTATTTCAGTGTTACCTAATTCCATCATTAATAATTGAGCATATTAACCATGAGCTCATTAACCATGAGTGTATAACCATCTACCTATAATAATCTATCTATATTCTACAGTTCTATTATAATTATTTTATTATATAAATAATATATATTCATTAAGCAGCATATGTTTACTAGTCTTTTATTACCAAATGTAACATTACCCTTATGAGAATATTTCTTTCTAAGCTCTTTGGTTTTAAAAGATGCACTAGTCATAAATGTATTTAAATAAAGTCAGTTAGGTATGACAGCACTTGACTTTAAAGCAGGGAATATAATACCTTTCCTGCAACACCTTGAAAGAAGCTGTGGCATTCACCAAATGCTGACCTCTTCCTGTTATATTCAAACCCTTGCTAATTTAACTTGAAATGCTTTAGTATAACTCACCACTTTTTGTATGTTTCAGGTGTGTGGAGGTCATTGCAAAGGAAGGACAAAACCTGAAAGAGCTATATTTGGTGTCCTGTAAAATCACAGATTATGGTAGGTAATGAACCATTGTCCTAATCCTTTCTAAGAATAAAAAGTTACAAAATCATTGAAAGTTTTTTTAAAAGAAATCAAGAACTATATCTTAGAGACTGTTTATCATCATTTATGCTCATTCTGACCGTACCAAAAATTAAAAATAAAAAAATTATGAGCTAAGAACCAGAGTAAAATGAATATGCATATTACTTCATTGCCACATACAATCACACACACATGCACACATGTACATTTGCACACACACACACACACAAAATTAAAAAGTATGGCTAAAAGAGGTATACAATGAAAATAAGTTTAACAATAAATAAGTTTAACAACAAAATGGGCATAATAAATATAACTAAGAAAATTATTACATTGAGTTTATTTGCTTAATGTAATATCATGTCAAAAGCATATCTGCTGACATTCTAAATGCCAAACTTCTTAACGCTTTAAATTCTGAAAAACATTGGAAATGTCCATTTGTGGATATAGGAAGTAAAGGGCATACATTTATATGCAACATTTTAAATTATCTTAATTTTCAATATTCTTTTAAAGTGGCAAAAAGCAAGTTGTTTTCTACAATTATGAAAAATATGAAGTCATATTGTTAGAGTAATAAAAATAACCTAGCCCTTCCTTTTTTTGTTTAATTTTATAAATTTTTTCTTAACCATTTGTGTATTTAATCTAATTACAGAGTTTTAACCAGAAAATTCATTAGACTTTATAAGAGAATGAAATGGTTTTCTTTTATTTTTTCTGACTTTTTGATTTCTTCATTTAAATTTGAGAATATGCTTTCTATCTCGAGGGAAGTTAATAATCCATTAAGTTGGTATTGTTAGCTCTGACATGTAATAATAAATGACTCCAGTCCTAGGATGTCACACTGACCATCTGCCATGGATGGGAGAGTTGTCTTTTATTAGCTACTAAATTCATCTTTTTGAAAAACTCTACTGAAGTTATAATTTTAAAAATACTCTAATGTTTTTAATTTAAAAACACACCTAATTTCAGTTTATTTTGGAGAATATGTCTTATTCATAATGTTTCTAGGTTGTGAGTTTTTTTCCTAATTTTGCGTTGTAAAAGTAATGTTTTGATATATTTTTCTTTACTTACGTTGTTTTCTGGATTGGCAATTAGATTGCTACTTAGACATGGTTAACTCTCTAAAACTTCTTATGTCTAGCATTGTCTAGGCCCTAAAGAGTTCTCCCTGACCAACACAGGGCGTATTGAGCGAGAGAGAAAGAGTGTGTGTGTATTATATATGTATATTGTATATATACCCATGTAGATTTGTTAATCAACTAATACTTTCATTCATTCATTTGAAACTTGTCACAAGCTGCTCTTCCAGTCTTTTTGTGTATTTCCCCCTTTTTCACTGCCAATTGTCAGGTAGCTAATAGCCAGGAGTTATGGATTAAATCCCTTATAATGAACTCCTCTGAGGTTCTGCAGTGTATAATGTTGCTAAAGGCACACTTTATTCTGAAGGCGTGGAGATACTTTGTGTCATAACAAAGGCAGTGCCCAGTACCTACTATTAAGTTATCAAGTACAAAAAGGAATGTTCCAGAAGATATTGAGAAGGTAAAAAGCTCTGGAGTTGCGACAGATCTGGGATCAAGTTCTGTCTTTGTTCTTTGACCTTAGGGAAGTTCCTTCACATACAGGACACTCCGTTTCCTCAGTTGTAAAATGAGAAATTAATGTCTGACTTCATGCTTCTGTATGTATCCGGTACCTAACCTTGTGAGTAGCACAGTGTACATTGCTAGTAAGCGTTGTTTTTCTACAGGAGTGGGATAAAAACAAGATTCACTTAGAATTTTTCTGCCACCTTTCCTTTCCTAAGTCTCGGAAGAGGTTTATGTTAAAACCTTACCAATATGGTTTACATGTATTTGTGTCTCTGAATTATTTTATTTCAGTGTTTCTCAACCCTGTCTGCACATTAGACTACCCGAAGAGTTTCTGAAACATTGACATGCAAGCCTCACCTAAAACTAGTCAAATTAGAATTTCTACGAAGTGGGGCCCAACCAGTGATTTTGTAAAACTTACCTAAATGAAGATCATGTCAGGCAAAGCTGACAACTGATCTTGTCCGTTTGAGCAGAATCAGAAGTGAAAATTTTGTGGACTTTCCTCTCCATGGTGATAAGAAATTGATTATGATTTTTCTTGCACCTCAGTCCCTCCAGCTCTCAAGCTCTCTGCCCCATCTTACCTTCCTTCTTCACTAGAATTCCAAGTATTCAAAAGGTTCATGGTGAAAGTCTTTGCATCTGTTGATTCTGTTCTCCGAAATGTTGGGGCACAATTGAGGAAGAGAGGGAAAGGTTGATAGGTGATGAGATTGTACTACAATTGCTATTTGATTATAAAATTAAACAAATTACTGAAAGCTCAGCTCATCTCATCTTTTCACCCACTACAATGCCAATGCTATATGGGTAATTTTTGTCAAAGAGGCAGCAAAAAGCTTATTCATTGTAACCAGAGAAAAGCATGTTATTGAAGGTAACTGCTCTGCTGGAGAGACTGTGTTCCCCCTACCCTATTATTACAAATTCTAAGAAGGAAAAACAGATGCCCTTTTCCTTCTTTGACTGGACAAGTAGAAACATATTCTATAGGATTTTTTGATTATTGAAGCTACTGAGAAATTGTAAAGTTTGATGTACATCTGATAGGTGGGCAATTCATCCTTTAAGAGACTACCCCATGGTTCTGCTTCCTATTGCTTTACTCGTATTCAAGCTGGTGAGTCTGTTTTTGGCCTCCTCTTTCTGTGGTGGTGGATATGTACATTATTTTAGTATGGTATACTGAGATTTTTAATGTTTTTTACAGGCTTCATTGATTCAGAAACAGCTTCTCACCTGGCATATAACTTGTAATTTTTGTCAAGATTCTCACAGGTGTTAAATGTAGTATTATAGTACTTAGTAACACCTGCCCAGGCTATTACAGAGTTATGTTTATTTTAATTGATATATGATATAGTTGTCATAAAGAAAACAATCATGCTAATAGGCTTCTTACTCCCCAAATTGAACATATATCTTTATGGTAAAGGGTAGCAATTATGAACAAATCAATAATTCAGACACAGCTAAATAGAAAATACAGTCTGGGGAAATTGCTCCCTGAAGAGAAATATAATATTGTCATTCCTGTATCACTGTACAAACGTATGTCATTAGCAGTGTTGTGGGAAAAAACTCAAACTTAGGTGTTAGAGAGTTCGGTTAAAATTCCAGCTTTGCCACTTCTTTTCTTTGTAACCTAAAGCAAGTTACTTAACTTCGTAGTTTTGCCATCTGTTAATCCACATGATGATACGTGCCACATACGTTAGCGAAAATCAATATAAAACACTCGTGTAGTGCCTGGTGGCATAGTCGACACTCACTAATTGGCAGTTCGTATCATACAGAATCTTCTTTCTCTCTCCCTCTGAAGAGGAATTAGCCCTTCTCCTCTTCCAAGTGTGGCTTTTCTGTTTGTGGAAATCATTATTTAGAAATTTGACCTACATTAGTGCCTACTTGATCTCCAGAGCTAAACTAGCTAAACAAGATTATTAGTAAGGAATAGAAAAAGATACAGCAAAAAGTCTAAAACCTTTCATTTGCCTTCCTGTCTTAGATTTCTTACCTATCTCTCCTTTGTGCTGTTTTCATTTTATGTGGACAATTTTCTCATTGCTCCCCTTATGCTTTTCTTTGTTCCTGGAACAATTTGTCAGTGAGTACTTCCCAACCTACTTATTTACTCAAATTTCTTTTGAAAATTTACTTCCTTCAAGACTGGGCATAGTGGCTCAGGCCTGTAATCCCAACACTTTGGGAGGCTAAGGCGGGCGGATCACCTGAGGTCAGGAGTTTGAGACCAGCCTGACCAACATAGTGAAACCCTGTCTCTACTAAAAATACAAAATTAGCTGGGCATGCTGACGCATGCCTGTAATACCAGCTACTTGGGAGGCAGAGGCAGGAAAATCACTTGAACCTGAGAGGCGGAGGTAGCAGTGAGCCAAGATCATGCTATTGTATTCCAGCCTGGGTGACAAAAGTGAAACTCTGTCTCAAAAAAAAAGAAAAAGAAAAAGAAAAGAAAATGTACTTCCTTCAGGAAAGTGTATCCTTGGGATTAAGAGGAAGACAAGAAGGAGAAATCAACCTGTATCACTCAGGCGTATGGAGGAAGTGGTCTTTCTGTTGGGCCGCACAGCACTTCATATGGTATAATAAATGGGATGGATGAATAAAGTGCTTATCTCCATTAGTGTCTCCACAGTGAATATTACCATTGTGACCCTTGTGCTAGGGGGCAGTTGTAAAATGACCCAGGTTTCTTTCAGTTATCACTTTTTTTTTTTCACTTTAGCACTCCTATGGGCCCTAGAAATACACTCTAGAGATATCTTTTTGTTTCCATTTTTAAGTAGTGAAATAATCTTTAATTAAAGAGGACTGTAAATACATACTGACATTGTTGTTTGGGGGCATACAAGGTCACTGACAACCCACAGGCTCACTCAGTATCACTCCACATCCTTCTGTGTGGTTTCTACAGACCCGTGGACTGCTGTCCTGGGGCTGTCTTTGGCTGCCCCATATTCTTGATCGCAGTACTGATCTGGGGCTTTTTAACATAACCGTGTGGCTTGACAAAATTTTTGAATTGCTCTGGGCAAAAGGTCTTCCAAGTCAAGGAGATCACTTTGTCCGTGATTATGATTGGGGATGTCATTTTAGTTGGGCTGCCATATGTCAGACATGATAAAAAAAAAATTCATTCTGTCAAACATAATATTCTGTCAAAAAGTATTGATTCAGCACCCACTGTGTGTGGTGGACCATGTGCTAGATGCAGATGTTTAGTTTCTGCATTCCTAAAGGGATAATGCTGGTAGGATCCAGAGGATAGGCTAGCCTGCTTATTTAAAAAAAAAAACAAAAACAAAAGTAATGCATCTTCTT